TTGGAGACCTTCAAAACGATGTATTACCCAACCACATTGAAACCGTCGGGAAGATATAAAACTACCCAGAATTATGAAATAACCAAAAGTTTGATATATTTATTTAGCAATCGCAAAAAATCTGACGTTGTCCCAGTTATTGAATTAGACCATTTAAGAGCGACTTAGGAGAGCTTCAAAATGATGTACTACTCAACCACCTTGAAACGGTCGGGAAGATATAAAACTACCAGCAATAATGAAATAACCATATATTCGTTTTATTTATTTCGGAATCTCAAAAAAACCTGAAATTGTCCCAGATATTGAATTAGGCTATTGAAGAGCTACTTAGGAGAGGTTCAAAATCATGTACTACTCAACGTCAGGTTTTTTTGAGATTCCGAAATTAATAAAACGAATATTTGGTCATTTCATTATTGGGGTTAGTTTTATATTTTCCCGACCGTTTCGAGGTGCTTGACCACTTTATCATTTTAAAACTATCCTAAGTGGCTCTTCAATGATCTAATTCGATATCTGGGACAGCGTCAGAATTTTTTGAGATTCCAAAATAAATAAAACGAATTTTACGGCCTTTCATTATTGAAGGTGGTTTTATGTCTTGCCGACGGTTTCAAGGTGGTTGAGCAATACACCATTGAAGAACCACTTCAGAGAGTATTGAAAATCTCCGAAGTGCTTCTTCAATGGTCTGGTTGAACATCTGGGAAGTCAGATTCTTTCGAGATTGCGAAATATTAATTAAATTAATATTTGGGGTGATGCGAGCATAACAGGGGTAATTTTCTGAGCAACATTGAATATAGTTTTTGGGAGTTTCCTTGCAATACTTCCGTGCTTACTTTCCCGGCGTAAATAATGAACTGGCCCACTGCAATATTCACAAATCCGAATCCAAATATAAATCTAACTTCAGCCACATATAAAATGTTACCTACGACATGAACTTTGTTGTGTGTGTTGTGTGTGTCGGTGGTGATTATCTTTCAAAATTCCTATTTACTGGGTTAAAATTTTATATCACGTCGTGTCATTAATCCATATGTTTTATTTTCATTTCAAAATTTCAACTATGGAAGATAAAACTTTACTATTTATTAATACTTGTCTCCTTCTCAAAACGAGCCATTAAAAGCCGTAGGTGCCTAAAGGCTTCTCAACTAGTTGCTTAATATAAACCTAAAATTTTTTAACCAGTAAAACTATGTACATAACTCAAAAACCAAAAGAAATAGGTGTAGTAAAACGCATTGGTCATACCTTAAGCTACAAAAATCTGAAAAGAAACATTAAAACTTAACTCCAAAAATTCGAACCTACTAAACTATAAATGAGCTTTAGATGGTGAAAAATTAGAGAAGGTAATCAATATAAAACCATTTCTATAAAGTTCTATTACGTTAGACATTTTATTTATTTAGTTTATATTTATTTATTTAATATTTTTTAAAATAAAAGTGTGACGCCAAGATATTTGAAAGAACGGCAGGTTCTTATTGCACAGTGATCCAGGTCTGGTTCCTCCGCTATCATAGACTTCTGTTGGAATTTTCGCAGCATGTACCTCGAATGATCTTTATCTCCAGCTATGAGTACCTGGTCATCGGCAAAAGGGATTGAGAACAATTTTGAGCGGGCTACGTACATTCGATCTTCTATATTCTTTTCATATGTTGGTCCATATTCCCCTAATATGTGTTCACAGTTTCAGCCAGTTTGCATGTTTACTTGTTTACTGTTTTTTTTGTGGGACAGAAGCGTTAGAAGTGTTTTATGTGCTCCGCGATTTTTTGCTGTAAAAAAAGCACTTGAAATATCTGGCATATGGTTAATCTACTTTGAGCAATAAAAATACTTACAAGTGGTACAAGCTGTTCTGAGAAGACGTCCGCATATGTGTTGGCTCGTGCCATGCAGTTTTTTCAGAAGTTTTGGGAATGAAATTTTGATAAATGAATAAATAATTTTTAATAAAACTTAAAAGTCACCTTACTTTTTGAACACAACTCGTATATGTTGCTTATTCCATTTTGACGCTTTGGGGGCCAGAACTTACTTACTGGAAAAAAAATAGAGTGACTCATTTAAACACCTAAGGTTGATTCTGTTTCAGCGAATTCATCATACTCTATATACATAAAACTACTATCTTTTAAATATTTCAGGAAACTGTTAAACTTTTGTATTAAAATTTTTTTTCCATCCCTGCTAGATTTTCTAATAACATAGCGGGTAGTTTATGTGGAATGTGGAACACGGTGTACATAACAGTTAAAGTTGTCAATACAAGGCTCGTAAATTTTCTGCGCGTAATTAAACACCCCGCATTTGTTCGGGCAGATATGAGTCATCCTCCCGCCATTTTTATAGACATCTACGACCGATAAATATTTCAATTAAGGAGGGCAAAGTCAATTTTCAGCAGGTTTTGTGGCCGCATTTCGAACCGGTTATTGCTTAACGCCTTGTTTATTTTCTTCATTTCGTCGCAATAAAGGTTTGGATTAATGATGCATCAAAATGTTAGTGTCTCACGACCCGAATAACTGCGCCGCAATTCTTGGAAACGCAGCGTTCTGGATTAGTGACATCGCCCTAAATAAAATAAAATGTTTAGCTAGATAACGCTAATACATTTATTTATACGAGGCGGGTTCAAAAAGTATGGCGACTTCTAATTTTTATTAAAACCTATTTATTTATTCATCAAAATTAATCTCGTCCCCTTCAAACAAATCTCACTAGATATAATACACTTGTGGCAACGTTTTTTTCCAATTCTCGAAGCACTTCTGGTAAGAGCTTTCTGGTATAGCCTTGAGGTCTTCCAGCGATTTTTTCTTTATATCATCAATCGATGAATTTTGGGAACAGGAAAGAGTCTCAGGGGGCCACATCGGTATTTGATCGAACTTGACGACCTTTTTTCGGTGTTAGCGATTCTGGGTTCTGCCATTGGGATGACTAGCTTTGTTTTACTTAAAATCGATACCCTTACTGGATACAGGATGAAAAAGGAAAATTTCCATTTTTCGAAAACCAACCACAACATTTTCCTAATTACAGGAGCTGAAATGTTCAAAATGGGTAAAAGGGTTTAGGAATTTTCTATGTTGCATACTGCAGCTGTCAACTTTTATTTTTCTTACGGGCACCATATTGAATTTGTACATTTTCAAAATCCCCTTTAAACATGTCTTTCAACTATGCGTAAACAGTTATGTTTGGTAAAGATAAATCCAAAAAAAATACAAAAATAAGATTTCAGGATAGTAGACTTAATGTCGCTACGGTGATTCACAACTATTGTCAATAGTTGGTGTTGAAATAGTGATGGGCATGATATGTTGAAATGTTTTATTCTCTGCCGTAGAAACGAATCAAAAGCAGAAGACATGTATTCAAGTAAATATCCGGAAATATATAAATCGGGTAGAACTATGTTTGCGTCTTGTCACCTACTTGATTTTTGCTAAGGTGAAAGGGCAAACCTCCAGATGAAAATAAAGAAAATTTGGTTGTGCAAAGTTTGATTGAGGTAGCTAAGACATATTTATCTCAGATGGAATTGATCACAGGCGTTTTTCGGTCCAAAGCGAATAGTATATTAAAGCGTCCTTATGGTGAACGACCTTGCCAGTGACTTCAGGATAGCGATACTGTTAGAAGAATAGCATTGTGCCAGTGGTTTATTCTTCTTAAAAGTCCTTTGGCCAGATGAGTGCCGATTTACTAACTGTTGGCCTCTTTAATCATAAGAACACCGTCACCGCCGCAGGCACAGATTATTACGAACCTTTTAAATGCAGAATTTCCCAACAGGTCGATAGGCAACCTGGGACCAGTCAGATGGCCTGCGAAATCCCCATACATAATACCCAATGAATTTTCTGTATGGGGCCAACTCAAAAATCAAGTATACAGTAGGTTCAATGGAAACGTTGTAGCATAAGGAGAACTCGGTACCGAAACTGTTTGCAGTATTACTTCGCAAATATTAACACAGTCCAGTGCAGCAGTGTTTAGAAGATGTATGTTATGCGTGCAACAAAACGGGGGATTATTTGAACATTTACTCTAATTTAAGTTGCAAAACATTGGCGTTCATTTCAATTTCCGTTAATAAATATAAAAATTTGTTGCGGTATAAATAAAATGATATAAATAATATTTTATCAACATAAGATCTCACATATTTATTAAACTTCTTTGATTCTTTTACAAAAAAAAATTCGTTGCCCTACAGCTTATATGAAAATGTTAAAACCTAGTCTGATCAGAAATTGAGTGTACAGATATTGTAACTTTATTAGAATCTTAAAACATTGTTAGGTTCTAACTATTAATTTTATCAATATAATAATATTGATTGTACTAATAATCTGTGATATGAGTTGTAATACTGCGATACTAGCATAGATCTATTTAGTGCAAGTTTGCAAGAAACCAAGCAAGTTTATATTGTTGTAAAAGGGGAAATGTTGGTGTTGTGGATGTGCGGCTGACTTCGGGTTGTTCCTAAGTTTATTTATTGGTCTTTGATCGCCACACACCATTTCGAATTTTTATAGCAATCGTTAATGACGCGAGCGATATCTTCCGAGTAAGTCATTTAGATAATCTTTTACCTTTGCAACACATTAATAATAACAACACTGAACACCATCATTTTCATTTAATTTTATTTTTTTCAACTATATTGCCCTTATTCAAAAGTCAATAACCATTCAATTAAGACAGAAGATTCTTTCCTGTTAAGCATTTTTCGTGAACAGGGTAACAATTTATAGGTCATAATTTATTAGATTTTTTCCTTAATTTGCTGGAATAATCCGGTTTAGTGTAATATGCATTTGCTAACTTTTCTGCTAACGACTAGAAAAAATGCTGGACACTCGACGATAATAATAATCGGATGTCACAACATCGAAAAAACTGGAAAGCGTTATCAAGCTTGGTAATGATATATGTTTTATATGTTCTCCGTTTTTTTACAGGTCCAGCATATTGGGGCCTTATGAATCCACAGTGGAATATGTGCTCCAGGGGCAGAAGGCAGAGCCCCGTAAACGTCGAACCCGACAAGTTGTTGTTCGATCCCTTTTTGAGGCACATCCACATAGACAAACACAAAGTAAGTCCAAGAAGATATAGAGAGGTTTTGCGTAGAGTACTAGTGCAAAAGAATTGCTAGAAAATTTAAATAACGAAGCAGACAGATTGCACCTTTTTTTTTTCTGACGGATTAGGAAATCTGCTCCTTAAACACAGCTCGCCTGATGTTCTAACTGTCGACGATGTGTCGGGATGGTGTCTCTTTCGGAGATCGCATATGTATTAAGAAATGCTTCACTACTGCGATATCTATTGTGCCTGATCCTCACTGATTTCTCAGCATTACGCACCTCTTGGTTCTCATGATGTTTGTAATCTCTTCGGGTAACTTACCTCACTGCTCCTAATGTGCAGCATTCCTTGTATTATTTCGGCTAGTGTTATGCCCTACAATGATATACCAAGTGATTTGATATACCAACTGATTCACCGATTGTGTTTCTTTGGACTTCCCATCTTAGGAATTTTATTAGGGTATGTTCAGGGATATCCTCTTCTTCAGTTCAGTTCAGTTCAGCAGTTCATGGACAGTATTCCCTATTCTGTTAGTATACGCTTTCTAGCATCCATGCCCTATAAGTAGTTGGGTTATGTGGTAGGCTAGTCTATACTGGATATCAGTGTTTTGGTTCACCCGCGGTCGAGGTCTCCCAACTCATGTGCTACTCTACAGCGCCTCTCCATTCCTTTCTCTTCCTCCTGGGTCTCGTTGTAGGTCCTCTATGACAAGGTCAATTGTCGGATCCCCAGTGACAACTTGTGTAGCAGCACGAGATATAGTTCTATAATCGTAAGCGACTCTTTGTATGTCCTCTAACATGATATGTTACGTTTTTATCTTTATTGTGTATTGGACCGGTCCATATAAAACACCCTGCTTTGCTGTGTTTAGGCCCTTACAAAGAAGATATTTTCTTCTAGGTTGACTCAATTTTCTGTTTTGTACTCTTATTCATATAACTTCATTACTACTTTGCCCGCTTAAAATAAGTACCTCAGTGTTTTCGGAAGCTAAAGTTGGTGAATTTGGTTCCAACCATATTTTATCAAGTCGTAAGAATATATATTCCACAGTGAAGTTCCTAACAGTGACTGATGTATTTGACAATGTATTTGATGGTGTGACTTTCCTTTCCTTCTTGTATGATCAAAATCTCTCTTTGATCTAAATAATCTGTTGTAATATTTGAAGATCTTGTAATTCATTCATTTTCGCTTTACCAGCACACTTAATATTTCCCTACACCCCTTCTTAAGGGAGATCGCATCCAAAGTAGACGTTCTTTTCCGGAATCCGCATTGTCTTGTTGTCTGGATTTTGTTTAATTCCACTTCTAGAGCTGGTTTAGTCTAGGCAATTCCTGAGAAATTAGAAGAACCTTGCCTACATTTTTTGCAGGACTTCTGGTCTTAGATTCTTGATTCCTTCAGCTGGGACATTGTACCAATAAAAAAATGAAAAAACTGAGTGTGAAATTACTAACACGCACAAAAACATATCAAATTTCTAAAAAAAATGCATTGGTTTATATATTATCCTTGCGTCGAGTTCACATGGTATGGATCAAATTCAAGTTTAACCTTATACAAACCGCTTTTAATTTTTGAATAACAATTTTAATTTTTGATTAAGTGTTATTAATTATTTCGCAAGGAAAGCTTTATAATACCTAATTTTTTGTCTCTATTAAAACTGATTGTTAGAATACCCAATACCAATTAATAGAATAATTAGTTAAAAAACTGAACTTGAAATTTTAACTCTTTTCATGGGTTTGATGGCGTTGGTGCAAGAGGCAATATTTTGTATTGAAAGCGGATTGTGCGAGGCATTCCTTAATTGCGTAGAAAATTAGGTGCCAACAACAATATCAAAACTGCTGCCAATTACACCATGCAGAAAATAACAATAAGATGATTTACAGCAAAAGCTTTTTTTAAATATATATATTTGGTGTACATTCCCTGGGTAGGTGAAATATGGTTAAAACCTTTGTTTGAAAAAATGCAGCCAAATCAGATGTAAGGGTCCTTCTATTTCTTCTGTATAATCTAGAATGTCCGTCCACTTCTTTCCTAGGTGGATATCTTCATTCTTAAATTCCTCCATCTATTTCAAAAACAAAAAAGGCAAATCGTATATTACGGCCTATGTCTGATGAACATCACGAGTTTTGATAATATTGAATTCAGACCTGAATTGAGAACAAATGGTAAAGTGTTATATATATTCGGAAAGTCCATAGCCGATACAATATAATGACGTAAAATTATACAGGGCGTCTAATTTAAAAAAAAAAACACAACTTTATATCAGAATTCAAAAATTATTAAAATTGAAAAAACTGATTCCTGACGAATTTTCATTTTAGTATTGCCTAATTGTGTTTAGATAATCACAAATACATTAGTTTAAAATAATAAGTTCCTAATTGAGGCTTTTTAAAAGGCATACAAACGCATAAAAAAAAAGGCAATGTTCAAAAAGTAAGGTGACTTTTAAGTTTTATCAAAAAGTATTCATTGATTCATCAAAATTAATGTTGTCCGGTTTAGAGTTTTGTCCCCCAGATATAATACACTTGTGGAAACGTTTTTTCCAATCCTCACAGCACTTTTGGTAAGCACTTTCTGATGTAGCCTTGAGTTCTTCCAACGATTTTTTCTTTTTCTTCTCAATCGGTCAAAACCATGAGTTTCGTGAGTTTTGCGTACAGGAAAAAGTCGCAGGGGGCCATGTTCAGTGAATATGGTGGCTGAGGCATGATTGTGTTTTTGTTTTTGGCCAAAAAGTTAGACACAAACAACGATAAGTGAACAAGTGTATTATCGTGATGCAAAATCCATTAATTGTTTTCCCACAATTCCGAACGTTTTCTTCATATTGCTTACCGCAAACGGCGCATAACTGCAACGTAATACTCTTTATTGACCGTACGACCTTGTGATCAGAATTCTTGATCTACTACGTCACGATAATCAAAGAAAACAGTAAGCAAAACCTTGACATTTGATCGAACTTGACGTGCTTTTTTCGGTATTGCCGATTGTGGGATCTTCCACTTTGACGACTGGGTTTTGGTCCATATACCCATGATATTATTAGTTATGGCCTTTTTCAGCGTATCAGGATCATCACTGACGTCGTTTAACAGCTCTTTAGCGAGGCTCCTTCGACAGTTTTTTGTTCGAAATTGAGCAGTTTCGGAACAAATTTTGCGACTACACGTTTACACAATAGGGATGTCGACATCTTCAGACACTACTCTAATAGAGATTCGATGATTTGTCAGTTTCGTCATCGGTGTCTTCTCGCCCATCTTGGAACAGCTTGTACCACTTATGAACATTCTTTTGCTCAAAGTAGATTCACCATATGCCGTTGTCAACATTTGAAGTGCTTTGCAGCACTGTATTACATTTTTTACCCAAAATTGAATGCATATTCTTTGTTCCATTTTTCTTTTTGAGTGCAGGAAATCGCCGAGCACACAAAACACATCTTACGCTTCTGTCTCACATACTGGCTGAAACTGTGAACATATGTTAGGAACATGTAATAAAACAAAAAAAATATATCGAAGATCGAATGTACGTAGCTCGCCCAATTACAAGTCACCTTATTTTTTGAATACACCTCGTAGATTGTGCATAAAATAAAAACAAAATCTTTCTTACTATTGGCGACAGAAAATCTCTGTTTTCTCTTGACCGTAAAACTTTGAAAATGGAAGAGGGTTGCGCCAAAAACGCAAAAAATCTCTCGCATATTAATCTTTTTATAATTTCCTTCTCGTGTTGCCGCCACTGCGGCCTCCGTCGGACGAACGAAACAGTAAATATGAAAGGCAGTTAAAGAAAACAATATAAAAGCGGTTGTTCGCGGCGTGTATCCCTTTGACAAATGGCCTCTTAAAAAGCCAAGCTAAAAAGATTGAATGATCGCATTAACTGTTTTTTAAATAATTGAATTTTTTTGCGGACTGCTCCGCGCGGATGAAAACGTTTTGAATAACAATGTTTCCGGAGTGCTTTGGAAAGTGGGACTGGGCGTTATGATGAGAGGGCAAAGGGCAAGATCTGAAAAAAATACTTTGTGTAGATTCTCGTTAGCCAAAATTGCCTAGGGGTATTTTTTTCGATGTATAGAACTTTAAGTTGAAATAAAACAACGATGACATGAATTTTATTTATCGGAAAGATAATCTTGTGGCATTACATTTTAAATATGATTTCTGGCATATGACCGCCACGGCTGGCGCGGATGTAGTCGAATCTGGACGTCCAATTTTCGATGACTTTTTCCAACACTTGTGGCGGCCGTATATCGGCAATAGCACGGCGAATGTTGTCTTCCAAATGGTCAATAGACCAATGACATACATCTTTGCGTTGTGTCCCGTTTGTTCTGTTATTTTCCCTGCATTTTGTCGACAGAGAAAGCTGTAAGATCTGTATAATTAGTATCATTTATCTGGATTTTTAAATTATGGTCACTGAGATAGAGTCAAGAGTTACCTTTTGCTAAGAAATATTTAGTCCAATAACATTACTTTCACTAGTTTAATGTAGGATTGCTTTTATTTCGAATTCGGTCCTATCGTGATCGAATATATGACAAATAAAATGAATAAAGGTTTGAAACTACTGCTGCTATTACTACACACTTTAAAATACACAATTGTTTACTGATCGGGAGTGTCACTTTAAAATGTCAGCTTCATTAAAAACTGTAGCTAGCGAATTCTAGTGTACTTTCGAAAGGGGTTGGGAGCGATAGAATGTTTTCGGTTTTTTTAAAACTCTAATAATATTTTGTCAGTTCTGTAATAATATAATAGATATCTCAAGCGTAATTTTTTTTTGGCCAATTTTCGCGTATATAACTAGAATAATAAAATGCAAGTAAATATAAATACATCGCAAACTAGTAAAAAATATAACACTTGTAAAAACTCTTTCACTCACCAGTTTATTAAAAACACCCCAAACAAAGTGTAGTTGCATATACTACTAAAA